ATATTATGGCTGTGCTGATCAGCTTGTGGTTTCAAGCATATTTTAAACAATCCCTTAATTTATGCCTATTCAATAAAGTCATACTCTTTATTAAGGATATTTGAGATGTGTTAGGCCTTTATTAAGAACAAACAAAGTTACGATTGTATAAAGTAAAAATGTAACATGATATCACACTATGACACAATCAAATAATTCCCTAACTTAAGCCCCGTACACACGATGAGAATACCGGATGAACCATCGCCCGTTTTTTTCGCCTGCTAGTCTCACATCGAAAGTGAGAAGGTTACTAAAAATACGAAAATTCTCCTATGAAAGAAAATAATTTAGAAAGTAATGTCATATATTGTATTGTATTTTTCTACGACTACTGTACTGATTAAACGAAAATTATACGATCTGGTATCGTACCAGAAAAAAATTTGCGCTTGTCCCTTTGGATATTGTCGCACGAATTGTCATGATTGGCTCTCAAAAGCTGTGAACTAACGATCCGATTATCGAACGATCGGTCCTTGTACGAAAATTTTGTAGGATTTTCTTATAGTGTGTACGGAGCATTAGTGTCTGTAAATCTTTAATGCAGGTGGCCATGTTCACAGGAATGTAGAGGTGATTAGTAAGCTTCCAGTGCAGTCAGATGGTAATGGATGGTAATCACATTTTCAGACATTCTGACAAACGACAATAATCTGGAAGAAGCTGTGTAAAAGCTGGCAACTTGCAGGTTAAGAAGCAACATACATGAGCTAGTACAAGCTGTGCCACATACCGTATGTAATGCCTGTCAATTGAATAATTAAAAAATGAATATTATTTAACTGTGCACACTTTTGAAAATTGTGCATGAAAATACATAGAGCATGCTGGCATACCATGTTATTCTGCTGTACAAAATGATCTGGTCAACAGTCCTCAACAGTCGGTTTTGAAGACTACTAATGAGAAAAAAACATACAGATCTCACCGTGCTCCATTGTTGCCAACATTACTGTAAAAAAAGGTGTGGACACTTTCATGGAAAAGAAAAGAATAGTGGTCTGCATTTAAATGCTGCCTGCAGTGACAGTTTATGTGCTGTCTCCTGTCTGGTGACAGGAGACACTCACAAAATGCGGAGACTTTCCTTCAGAAAGAGGGGCAGTCATACCATGCACTTTACGCATTCTTTTAGCATGCAAGAGAAAGCAAACAGCCCCATCTGTCTCAGTAGAAATGGCCCAACAGATCTCCTCTCATTAATCTATTCACATCTCATTACAAGAACAATGCAATAACAAATTCTGTATAAATGTTTCCTACTCTGGGACTGCATATAAATACAGATATAGTAATTGTAATGCACCGCGCACAATTCATTTTAGTTACTTTAGCTAGGCTAAAACAAAAACTAATCCTGGTATTTTAAATGGTAATGTCCACATTTTGGCTTCCATAATGTTATTCTCAAGAGACAGTCCAGGGGTATTTCATTAATTTACGTCACCCCAAGTGATCTATTTGTAAAACTGTGCTACCTTACATAATTTTATATAAATTCAAATTAAATGTTGACAATGAATTATTTATCTGAATGCATAAAACTTGGAAAGGTGTTATTTGGGCTCTTTTTTATGTCTTCTTTGTTTATTCAACATGATTTATTGTTTTCCTCCCTGTGACATAATCCCCAGATAAAAGTATATGTTAACTTCTTACCACACGCCTAAATGCCAACAAAAATGTGCAACAAAAATGCTTTACTTACCTAAGCTTTCTTCATTGTCTGCATTTTTATAGTACATATGAAGATGTGTGCTAGCTAGCATTTTTGTCAGGAAAATCGCTTTGACCTAGCAAATGTATAACCAAATCATTATTTTTTTCTACCTGCTCAAATATACAACTAGCCAATTCATAATGATGGCTATTTTCAACCTTAAGGCTTCATGCACGCTAGAAAAGCTAAAAACCTGTTTTAGAAACATTGGACAAAGAATGCTAATGTTTTAGCGTTTTTTGATGATGTTTTGCAGTGTTTAGCCTAATGTGTAAGTTACATTTAGTAGGTTCAGCATTATGGAACGGGGCCGCCGTTGTTAAGGAGAGGGGTGGGAAGCCGGCCGCTGTGTCCTTAACTTTCCTAGTGGTATGATTATGTCAATAGTTCTGTGCTCAAAGTGGTACTTTTTTTGCATGGAAATATGTCGTTTTTTTATTGTAGGCCTGTAATTTTTAGAAATAACTCACTGAAATCTGTCCGAACAAGAGTCTAGTAAACATCCCGGGTATGATAAAATTTGAAACACGAAATCATAATATAATAATCATAAAAAATAATAATATTATAATAATAATAAATTTAATTCAATAATATAATCAAGCCAAAAACACTAGAATTTGAAATAGAGCGCCAACTTCGCACATCACTGAGCAAAGTCGCAAAATCGTTTTCAGTGTCTGATGACGAATTTCCCCACGAATCATTATCACTCAATTCTGCAAGTGGTTCTGAATTACTATCGCTATTCTCTAGCTGGTCTAAAACCACTTTTGACATAAAGGGACGCTTTTTGAAAGCCATGGACATGTTTCTCAGTTTCCAGGTAGAAAGAACAGTAAATATGCAGGCAGGGCACAGGACAAAGCACTCGGGACAAAATGTATGTGAAATGGTTTGATACAGTAATGTTTTACTATGTGATTTTAGTGTATTGAGTGAATGTCACTTTTTAAAATTTTTGAATTTCCCGCCGGTTCCGTCCCCTGTACTTTCTGATGCTCGCAGGGACCAGAACCCGGAAGCCGGATGCTGGAATCGGCCGGAGGAGATGGCCAGGGACGCTGCAGGGGGGACATCGCGGGAGCACAGGACAAGGTAAGTGAAACAGGGATCGCAGAGCAACGCTGCATGGTAATCCCGATTGTAGCTCGGGGTGACCGCTTTTGGCACTGATAATTAACCCCGAGCTACACTCGGGAATACCGCCAGGGAGGTTAACAATGGATGAGTCATCAGCTGTCAGCAGGGTTCCCCGCTGACAGATGAATGTAAAAAGACATTGCAATAAAAGATGTGAAAAAATGGCATGAGGGTCCCCCTACTCAATCCATACCAGGCCCTCATCTGAGCATGCAGCCTGTAAGGTCAGGAAAGGGGGGGACAAGCAAGCGCCCCCCTCCTGAACCATACCAGGTCTCATGCCCTCAACATGGGGGAATGCTTTGAGGCAGGGGGGTCCCCCCAAAGTACCTTGTCCCCTTGTTGATGAGGACAAGAACCTCTTCCCCCTCAACCCTGGCTGGTGGTTGTGGCTGACTGTGGGCCCCCCAAATCCGCCCTCCCATGTGAATGAGTATGGGGTATATAGTACCCCTACTAATTCACCAAAAAAGTGTAAAAACTAAAAAAAAAAAAACAAAACAACACGTTTTTTTCACAAGTCCTTTATTAAAAAATCAAAACTAAAAAAAAATGTCCCCCCTGGTGCAGATCCATCTTCAATTACATGACCCGCAGCCACAGCCGACCCAATAAAAGAAAAAAAAAAACCTTTAGTCCCGAGAAAGGCTCCCGCCATCTGGCAGCTCTGCTGTCTGACAGCTCTTAAATAATTAAGGGGTGGGGCAAGCCAGTCACATCACCAGGAAACCCCTTCCCCTTGTGACATCACTGACACAGGGCATACTGGGTCTGTTACGTAATGAGGGGGTGGGGTCTCCCACTGATGTCACCAGGTGGCCCCGCCCCTCAGTTAACGCTTCATTTAAACGTGTTGCAATGGTATAACTTTCAAAGTGATTGTGAACCCTCACCTTGTAAAACCCATTCAGTTTAAAATAGAATGAAAGTCAAAAAACACTTGTGTATAGATATAAAAAAAATATATAAATACCTGTTTTACCTTTTTTTTTTTTTTAGAGATCACATTTTCTCTGTTCTCAGCTGCATAATTTCTCGGGGAGGGGAAACAACAGGACACTGATTTTCCCAGTGAAAGGCTGGAGGACAGCAGTATAGCTAGAAAACTTACCGCTCTGTGCTCTCATGCCTACTTTGGTCAGTTTTTAGTAGGAAAGCAGACAGACTGGCACAAACACCAGGGATTTCACACAATGGAAGCAATAAAAAGAGAACAGGATACTTTTTTCTACAAGTACATGGTACAGCTGACACAAACCAGGAGTATGAAATGTTGGGTTTTCATATTCTTTAATGTAATACGTAGCTGGAGTTATGTCACAAAAATGGGATTCCATAACTGGAGAGCAGGCACCATCTCATACCACATATTACCAATGTTGTGCCTGGCTGTCAGGACTTGTTGAAGATCTACTGACCCCGTGATAGATGTATTTTCAATCAACAATTTGTTGTTTTTTTTTTCAAATGTGCCAAGTGTCAGAGATGTGTATAATGAATTGTTTTTACACACACACACACACACACACACACAAATAGATATACATATACAGTCATGAACAAAAATACTGGCACCCCTGCATTTCTGTTAGATAATGCACCACTTCGCCCAGAAAACTGTTGCATTTACAAATGTTTAGCCACTTGCCCTCCTGAGGATTTACCTCCCTTCCTGACCAGGCCATTTTTTGCGTTACGGCGCTGCATTATTTTAACTGACAATTGCGCAGTCATGCAGCGCTGCACCCAAATTAAATATACATCCTTTTTTTCCCAAGAATTGAGCTTTCTTTTGGTGGTATTTGATCACCTGTTCGTTTTTAATTTTTTGCGCTATAAAAAAAAAGCCCGACAATTTTGAAAAAACAAAACAATATTTTTTACTTTTTGTTATTAAACATTTCCAGTAAAAAAAATGTAAAAATCAAATTTTGTTATAAATTTAGGCCAAAATGTATACTGTGACATGTCTTTGCTAAAAAAAAATCCCAATACGTATAAATTAATTGGTTTACATGAAAGTTATAGCGTTTACAAATGGTGGTATATATACTGGGATTTTTTAAAAATTATTTTTACTAGTAATGGTGGCGATCAGTGACTTATAATGGGACTGCACCGGGCATTCTGACACTGGGGGGAACTGACTTGATGTCACTGACATCCCCAGTAACACCAATACAGTGATCAGTGCTAATAAGCACTGACACTGTATTAATGGTACTGGGAAGGAAGGGGTTAACATGTGGGGCGATCAAAGGGTTAACTGTGTGCTGTTTTACTAGGGTCTGTGTGTTAGTGCTTCACTGTAAGCACTCTGCTTTGCATGGCTGTGCTGTGCACAGTCATACAAAGCAGTGTGCACGAGCTGACAGAGAGAACTGTTTTGTTTACCAACAGTCCCCCCCCCCGTCGGAGATGCTGGGAAATCAATGGGCACTGGCGATTAATCACCGGCCGGGACCCGGTGACTGACAGCCGCGGCCACGTGCCACCATGTAGCAGTATATCTGCTATAGGATGGACAGGAAGCAGTTAGGCATTCTCATGTTTATTTCTTTTGTTTGTATTGGTATGAAACACAAAGTCAAATCTGACACATTCCACGCAAACCCCCAAAAATGGACTGGATAAAATTATTGGCACCTTCTCAAAATTGTAAGAAATAATTGCATTCCAAGTGTGCGATGCTCCTGTAATTTGTAATTAAACTCACCTGTATCAATGTTGGCAATGTGGAAATCACAGTGTTAACCAGTTAAAATGGTGAAAATGTACTCAACCTTTCTGTTGTGTGTCTTTGTGTGCCACAAGGAGCATGGAGAAGAGAAAACCAGCAAAGAATAGTCTAGAGATTTGAGAACAAAAATTGTGGAAAAGCACAGACAATCTCAAGGATACAAGTCCATCTCCAGAGATCTCAATGTTCCTGTATCCACTGTGCGCAACATTGTCAAGAAGTTTACAGCCCATGTCGCTGTAGCTAATCACCCTGGACGTGAATGAAAGAGAAAAATTGTTCAAAGATTGCAACAAAGGATTTTTCGAAGGGTGGCTAAAAATCTTCATCAACTTTGAGACTAATTCAAGCTGACCTTCAGGGACAGGGTACAACTGTGCAAGCTTGCACTATACGTCACCATCTGAATGAAAAGGGACCCTATGGTAGGAGACCCAAGAGGACCTCACTGCTGATACAGAACCATAAAAAGCCAGATTAGTTTGCCAAAACTTACATGAGGAACCCAAAAATCATTTTGGGAGAATGTGCTGTGGACAGATGAAACAAAATTATAGCTTTTTGGTAAACCCCATCATTCCACTGTTTTCAGAAAAAGAAATTAGGTTTTTTAAGAAAAGAATACAGTCCCTAGAGTCAAACATGGTGGAGATTCATTGATGTTTTTGGGTTGCTTTGCTGCTTCAGGCACTGGATGTCTAGACTGTGTGCATGGCATTATGAAATTTGAAGACCAAAAAATTCTGGGGTGCAATGTAGTGGGCCCTAGTGTCAGAAAGTTGGGTCTCCGTCAGTGGTCATGGGTCTTACAGCAGGACAATGGCCCAAAGCATACATCAAAAAGCAAAGCCCTGGAGAGTACTGAACTGGCCAGCAATGAGTTTAGATCTCAAAATCCCATAGAGCACCTGTGAAGAGAACTCAATACAGCAGCTGGGAAAAGGAACCCTTCCAATCCGAGAGAACTGGAGCAGCTGGCGAAAGAAGAGTGGTCCAAAATTCCAGTAGAGAGGTGTAAGAAAATCATTGATGGTTACAGGAAGTGACTGATTTCAGTTATTCTTTCCAAGGAGTGTGCTACAGAATATTAAATTGAGGGTGCCAATATTTTATTCCAGTCCATTTTTAGGGTTTTGTGTTGAATGTGTCAAATTTAAAATATAGAATATGTAAATAATATAGACATTATTCAGTCATTTTTCTTTTACAATGAATTTTATTATAGACAGCACAACAACATAGCGTTTCGTGCTATGGCACGTATTCATAAGGGGTGTGCCATAGCACGAAATGCGTGGAGGAGGAGCCGTACGCAGTGACGTCACGCCGCCGAGACCACATGGAGGTCCGACGGCCATCTTTAATTCACATATGGTCAGTGTATTTTTACCTTGTTCACTTACTATACCTGAAATAATTGATATTTGGAAATACTACACTATGGGCATCCCTCTTTTTGGCTCTTTATGAGCTGACACTAATACAGAGCCCATTCTGGAGGACGGCTGAGGTGCTACCGACAACCCAGGGGAAGGGGATCTCTCTCTGACCAGACCAGGCTGTATACATCCTTAAGGGGACCTCGGCTGACAACTAAACCTACAAATGCGTATTATGCTTACGCATCTGGTGAGTGCGTAATCTTAACATATTCATGGCACATCACCTGGATAATCGTTACAAATATACGGAGCACTTACCTAAGATCATTTTTGGATGGATCTTCACGAGTAGCACTTTATGGACATTCTCATGATTATTTATTGGAATTAGATATTTTAGCACTATTATGTGCTAACGTTTGCCACTTTACTAGCACTTTATTGTGGGTATAATTTATTAACACAATATTTGCACTTTGTCACCTTATTTACCATTAATCATTTGATTCGTGCATTCTATATATTTATTGCAGATGGTTGCATTATCCTGATTAATTTGGATTATTTTAGTGCTGCACCTATATTTATTTTGATTACTTTGGAGGTTGTTTTTGGTTACCTTTTCAGTGCATCAGCTGCTTATGGTTTCAGCGCTCACTTATTCTGTTTTTATCATATGGTAGCCATAAATAGATGCAATGCTAACTGCCATTCACGACGGAGTAGGCCCTCTAGTGGTTTAAATAATAGTGCCTCATATGGGTTACGCTTGATATCCGTGTGTAGCATAGTATGGAGAAGGGCATAGACCCTAATCCATAGTCTGCATACCGTGGGGCAAGTCCACCAAATATGGGCCATGGTACCTATTTGTTGACAACCCCGAAAACAAGTCGGAGAATATGAGGGAATAAAGCGAACCAGTGGGGCAGGCATATAATACCATCTATAAAGGACCTTGTAGGCATTTTCTAGTATAATAACATTCCTCGAGCATTTAGACAAGGCTTGAGTCATGATCCACCAGTCTTGCTGATCTAGACAACCCCCGAGTTCCAATTGCCACTGTTGATGATAAGAGCGAACTGGGAGAGTCCTATAAGAAATGATAGCAGAGTAGACAAGGGAGATCAAGCCTGGCATATGAGGCCTGTGCCTGCAAAGACTTTTGAAGGGAGTCAGCCTATAGGGACCCGAATGGGCTTGTAATAATGTAGTACGAAAGTGAAGGAGTTGGAGGTAGCTAAAATATTCCCTCAACGGGATATCATGTGAAGAATGCAAAGTCGTGAAAGTGAGTATCCAAGTACGAGAGAGCATGGAATGCATGTCATTGAAGCCGTGGGCTGACCACCACGCAAACTGGCCAGGATTATCAAGGCCTGGAGGAAACAATGGGTTGCGGAATAGGGTAAGTGAGCATCAAGGGTAAGTGAGCAGAAATAAGACCAGCAGAATATTTAATGGAGTCCCAGAGACGAAGCGTATGTGTTAATGTCGGGCTTATTCAGTTATTTTTATCTATATTTGATGTGTGTCATCTGACATCAGTCCTGCTGGATATGATAAACTTTGAACCAGGTTAACTCCTACTTGTAATTGATCAATAGGAAAAAGGCTGGATTTGATTTCCATTACTCAAACTGGAAATTAAAATGAGTGATTTGGAAGCATTTGTTTCAATGTACCATAACTTATTTAAAAAATCACTGATTCTTAATAATATTTGCTGAGTTGCATCCACTTCTAAATGTTAAATAATAAACATCTAGCAAACATTTCTGCTGATTAATCTTCCAGAGGTAAGCAAAACCTATCCATGCAAGTATTAAATACCACACTAGACTGAAAAATGGAGGGGCAGGGAAGGAAAAGATGGAGGAAAAAGACTTGACATTTTCTTTGTTCTATAACACTCTCTCATCTAATTATAATATGCTTCAGAATTCTTACATCAACTTTTCTTGCATCATTTAAGAGTGATGATAAATTGCAGTATGAAGAAATTAAATCAGGGAAATTGAGAACAGGACACCAAGTACAGCCAAGTAAAGCCACTATGTGGCCTAATTATAAATTACCAAGAATAACATTTTTTAATATGATGTCCAAAACATCACACTTTATAAATCCTCTGAAAAGTGCATCTGTAGCAAAATTTTTCTCTTACTAAAATATAACTGGCATACAGCATTAAATGAAAAAGTGACGTTTGGAATAAAGTTAAAAGTATAAAAGTTTATGGTCGATGTTATGTTATTTTTTATTTTTATAATTTCTTTACATTATTATTTCTATGATAATCTTCATTTTACAAATAATTTCTTAAAGGGTGCAACCCTGAGACTCACCTTAACTGCTTCCCGACTGCCCTATAGCAGAAATACTGCTACAGGGTGGCACGGGTGCGCAAAATCACGTATATATACGTGATTTTGCATTTCCGGGTAGGGGGCACACGCGAGCCGCGTGCACACCCTACCCAGACCGCCATTCGTGACTGCGGATGTCAATCACAGGGTCCCGGCCAGTGATTACTCACCGATGCCCAGGTATCTCCGACAGGGAGTAGAACTGTTTTGTTTACTAACAGTTCTCCTCCCTGTCAGTTCGGGCACACTGCTTTGGATGACTGTGCACAGCACAGCCATCCAAAGCAGTGTGATTACAGTGAAGCACACTGACAAAGCCCCCTAGTGAAGCACTCCCAGCACACAGCTAACCCTTTGATCACCCTTCTTGTTAACCCCTTCCTGCCCAGTGCCATTAGTACAGTGTCAGTGTTTTTTTTTTTAGCACTGATCACTGTATTGGTGTTACTGGGGATGTCAGTGACACCAAGTTAGTTCCACCCCAGTGTCAGAATGTCCGCCACAGTCCCACTATAAGTCACTGATCGCCGCCATTACTAGCAAAAATAAAAAATAAAATATAAAATCTCAGCATATATACCGCCATTTGTAAATGCTATAACTTTCACGTAAACCAATTAATTTACACGTATTGGGATTTTTTTTTAGGAAAGACATGTAGCAGAATACTTTTTGGCGTAACTTTATGACGAAATTTGTTTTAAATTTTTTTACTGGACATATTTAATAGCAAAAAGTTAAAAATATAGTTTTTTTCTCAAAATTGTCGGTCTTTTTTTTTTATAGCGCAAAAAATAAAAAACGCACAGGCAACCAAATACCACCGAAAGAAAGCTCAATTTGTGGGAAAAAAAGGAAGTAAATTTCACTTGGGTGCAGCATTGCATCACCACGCAAAGTAAATTGTCAAAGTAATGCAGTGCCATAACACAAAAAATGGCCTGCTCAGAAAGGGGGGTAAATCCTCAGGAGGGCAAGTGGTTAACAGAAGTTC